AATTATGAATCGCAAGTAAATGAAGTTACATATTCAAAAACTTAAGGAAACCTTTACATTGACATATTTAGCAGTGTCATCATCACTAATAAAAGCAGACTTAGAACTGGACGCCATTTCGAAGCTTTGATAGCGCTCCCGGCACTTTTGGCGAAAGACAGGAGGAGCGCGTTCGCGCTCCCCGGCACTCTAGGGGTTAAGTCCCCCCAAACCATCCCTGGTATCCTTACCACTCCTTGGGGCTCCAGGTCCGGGCACCACAGGGGCAGGCACACAGGTACTCTCCCCACCTGATCCAAAACCTGCAAGCAGAGGCTTTGCCTCTCACAGAACATTTCCTGAAAGCCAAGAGGAGACTCTGGGGAGAAGACAGCAGGGTTAGTCAAACTCGGAATGTTTCAGGCCATTGCTCAAGGCTTTGTGCGGTGCAGGGCCGGGGCTGAGCTCACTGGGTTTCTGAGAAACTATATTTAAATCTCCAAATGGTTGTGATTTCTTTATTACACAAACAATCCAGTCATTAGGAACATGTTGTGTTGCTATGCAGCACAGCCGATCGGCACCAGGAGGCTGTCATTTCTGCACCCGGCTGTTTTGTAGACAAGTCTTCGCCATGGGGCTGGGCTGGCCCCTCAGCGCACCGATTCCGCTGGCACCTGGCAGGTGTGGAGCCCGTGCCTGCGGCGTGGGGCGCTGGATGTGGTGCCCTCGCCTCTCCTCAGGAAGAAACAGGCCAGCCCAGCTCCTCACGGGGTCCCGGCTGGGGACCAGGAACTGTTCTCGGAGCCAGGGGTCAGAGCCGGGGCAGCCCCAGACAGGGCTGGCCTTGAGTCCGATCAGTCCCAGGAGTAAGTCCCTGCTGGAGCGGCACTTCCTGCCCCTGGGTGGTCGGGGAGGAGGCAGGTCTCGGGTGGCCGGGCAGGCCAGGAAGAAAACCCGTACTTTCTGCAGAATCGGGCTCTTCCCAAGGCCAGTTCGGACCCAGCTGGGCCCCTGCAGGGCTGAAGGCCGAGAGGCCGGGCCAGAGTTTGTGCTGCACTCGGAACTCTCCCAGCTCTGGTCATTCTCTTCACGGGCCCAATCCTCCCGATGTGGCTGTTGCCTGTCCTTCCTAAAGACACTGTCTATGATCGAGGGGCCTGTCCTTGGAGACGCCTCCACTGCCGGGCCCTGTGCTGGCAGCTGCAGCCCGTCCCAGGCTGGAGGGAGACAGGCTGGTCAGAGAGACACTGGAGCGTGATGGAAGCTGCCGCTGCCTCCGGCCCGTCTCACTCTACGGAGAGAGGGCATTGACAGAGGCCACGCTCAACGCAGGGCGTAAGCTGGGTCGCTGCTAAGAGCTGGCCAAGTGGTCAGGAAAGTCCACGCTGGAGGCTGGAATGGTTAGGCACAAGGAAGCTGAGTGACCCCAGCAGGACTCGGGGCCCAGCGCAGTGCAGTCCAACGCCCAGAGCCTGCCGGGTGCAAGGCCTCCCAGGGCCTCTGGCTGTCAGAGACGCGCTCCTTCCTGAAGCCCGCCCCGCCCTTCCCGACATGCTGCCTCCTCATGGCAGACACACTCCTGGGTTTCAGACTTCGTAGCACAGACACCTCTTCTATGCTCTTTTAAGACTAAATAAAGATGTAAGAAAAACGCCAAGAAAAACTGGGAGTGGGCACCAAACAGCCAGTGAGAAACACAGCGCCGGACGGATGAACTCATCGCTTTATCAGACCGGAGGCTCACCGGATAGCAGCTCCTTTCTGCAAAGAGGTGACTTGGGAAGAAGTCAGAAGTACAGAGCAACGAGAGGAAAGGTGAATCCTGGCCCCCTTTTTTAAATAAAGGGGAGGAACTCCACTCAACCCGGGGGGCTATTGACTAGATAAGCGATGGTCTTCAGTCTTTGCCAAGAGCTCTCATGCCACCCGAAGCTGGAGCAGCAGGGGTGAGGGCTCAGGGAAGCCGAGGAGAGAGGCAGGGAGGCTGGCGGGCGGGCTGAGGGCAGGGGCTCTGCGGCCCAAGAGGTCAGGAGCAGACTGGCCTGGGGCTAATATAGACTAAGCTCAGCTACAGTTAATAAAGTTTTAACGGAGCAGAAGTCCCCATTGTAACCAGCTATCTGGATTCCTTTATATGGTATCCAGACTAGAAATGCTTATAATTAATAACCAGTTAAGTTAAACAATACTTACACTGTTATTTCACTCAAGTCTATTTCCACTGAAAAAACGCCCGAGGTATGGGCGCCACATCCCGCCCTCGCCTTTCCTCTCTGCTCCGTGAGGTCTCGCTGCTCACAGGGCAGACTCAGAGCAAGGCCACCCGGGCGGCGCTCCTGGCACCTGTGAGGGGAAGGGCAGGCCTTCCCAAACCCGGCGAGATAGTGCCACTTGATGTTAGCTGTCACCCTAGAGTGGCTCCAGGCAACAGGCCCCCAGAGTGATTGGGGAATGCCTCTCCACTTCCGGTCTGCCCTTCGCTGCAGAGTGGGGTGGCTGTCTCCTGGGAGAAGTGCACCCCAAGAAAGCTAAGTAAGGAGCAGGGAGCCGTCCTGCCCAGCACGCCTACCTCTGGGCGCACACTGCCTGAGTCTGGATAGTAGGTCCCTGCAGTCCGACCTGGTC